AGCCCGTCGGTCCATCGATGTGGTTCTTAGTCACCCTAAAACATACAAACAGTGTTTAATTTCCCAGTAATATATTATGAGCGGTGCATTACTGTTTGTCTAAAACTCACCACAGCACAGAATGGCTCCACAGAAAAGTGTCCCGTCCCGGGCTCCAGGTGCAGAACACGACCACACTCTGGTTTCCTTTGACCTCGTAGATGCAGGAAAGGTTTTGGGGGAGCTCTGGAAGATCTTTAATAAAAAGTAAAGAAGAAATCCTAACAATCTGCCCACAAAGAGCTTGCAAAGAGACGTGGTAATGTACTGCTGCTTGGGACGCCTCACTGCAGGATGGGGGGACGTTTAAATGAACAGAAGTAACGTAGCGGTTCTTCACACTTCAAGTGGATCTGGGTAACCGACGTCTGTTAAATTCAGATTGATTCATTCACACACTTTTTTAGAAAACAGGCTTTAGATCGTTGAGCCTGGTGGAACGTTCCAATTATTTTAGTTTAGTATTCTAAAATCTTAGCGGTCATTGTTGTTGTAAAGTAATTCATGAGTGACTCAAGCACAGAACCAACGCTGCAGGAAGTAGTATTATAACTCGAAACCAAGACGGTAGTATATGATGTTTAGATTCATCCATGAATTGCATCGTGTGCGTTTCCTTGTTCTTGTCGAGCACATTGCATACGCCGATAGAATCTGGGTGTGTTGGGGAACTGACTTGTGGTCAGAACTTATCGCCCTGCCAGCAGCTCACACGTGTGCTCTGAAGAGGAAGCCTGAAGACTTCATGTCGTATGCACTATGCACTACGTCCATGACATCATTCCTTTGCTGAAGGCATGAAGACAGGTGTCATACTCACACCCAGCTGAGATGTCCAGTCCACAGGGGTCCAGCTCAGGAGCACATTTACAATCACAGCTGTATGTTATGTTCTTGGTTATGTTCGTCACATTCACAAATACTGTTGTGGAATTGAACTCTTGGTGCCTCTGCAGTTTGCGCGGATGGTCGCTGTACATGGCGCCCGTGCACCTGCACTTAAAGGTGCAGTACACCTGGAAACTGGAGCCTATCTGCACCACCGGTTTGGAGCTCAACCAGATGGAGCAGGACTTCATGCCTGGGAGCAGAAATCACAACTTATATGCAGCTGCATATCGAATACGTATGAGAATGTAAGAAGGGTACACTTTGTGGTGATTTGGAGCACATAAGGAAATGTAATTCTACACACTTCCTACTGATACTGCTGAACGCATTTCTTCTTCTTATGAATCCACAATCTATGAACACAATCTGAGGGCGAGCTCACCGGCGCAGAGCCGCAGAGCCAGCAGAGCCACCGCCGGGAAGAAGCTCCATGTTCGGGTCATCGTTCCGCCTTCTGCGCGTCTCACATTTCCGCTCGGACTTCTAACTACTGACAAGCGATACAACACAACACGGCTTGATTTTCATCGAGCAACTATATTATTGACCTTAAATGTTTTATCTAGAATCATGTCTGCTCTTTGTCGCTCCTCATCAGTACACCAATACTTTCTAGTATTAAATCATGAATTCATTTCTATAAACTGCAAACAAAAATAAGCCATGCTTACCATGACGTCATATCATCGCGGATTTGATTCTGGCTTAAACAGCACACATCTGGCCAGCGTGCAGAGGAGACAACATCTGTCACAAAGTGAGTCGGATCATCAGCGGAGTCTCCGCGCGCACGCGCATGCGCGCGCGCACATGCACGCAAAGGACTGTTGATCATAAATCATCATTTAATCTACTTTACTACTCTACTTGCCTTTTATGCAGCGAGAACCTACGTTTTCGCTACATATTAATAAATAATATTATAACATTATTATTATCTGACAGATTGAGTGACATTTTGTTCATCACCTTCTATTGGTTAAAATCAGCGTATCATTAAATGAAGCAGTAATATTAATCCAAAAACATCATATTTAGTAGTAAAACAATAACAGGCCTATAATACTACTAATACTATCGAAGTTACTAAAAGGATCTTTCGTGTTGTGATGACTCCGGCGACCCTGGTGGACTACAGTGGTAGTGTCTCTTCTCACCAGGGTCCCAGTAGAAAACCTCTCATTGTACTGCAGGGTCTCAGTCCAGCTCTCTCTCCCGGGCCTCCCTTCCCTGCTGCGTCTCCAGCAACACGTCCTGGATTTATAGGATGCTGTTGAGACAAGATGTTCAAAGACCCTTCAAGATGTATTAGTGAGACTCTGCTGTCTGCAGAAGAGAGACTCTTGAGGAAGTGAGAGAACACTCAGGAAGTCTGTTCATATGCAGGTGGTGAGAGTCACATAACGATACCCTACACGTATGTGTAGCATGGAAAACCCCAACTGACTGGTGGCAGTGAGCGTCACAGAGCACAGGCCACACTGCACATGCAAATAACAGAAGCTCTTCACATGGAACAGCTAGTTAGCAGCATGACGAGGAGTGACATGTCTCAGCTAACAAGTCATTGCTTTGTGCTTAAATCAGCACATAGCCACCTGAGTAGAAGCTGCTTTAAGTTCATTTATTTTGGTGTAACTCCTCCTCGAGCAAACAAACCTTAATCTGTGTTTGTTTTTTGGATTTAATCAGGCATCAACATCCATCCAACATCAGTCATGACCCAAAGAACTAGGTCACGGGTACGAGCGGCCGAAATGGGTTTCCTCAGGAGAGTGGCTGGCGTCTCCCTTAGAGAAGCTCAGCCATCCGCGAGGAGCTCGGAGTAGAGCCGCTGCTCCTTTGCGTCGAAAGGAGCCAGTTGAGGTGGTTTGGGCATCTGGTGAGGATGCCCCCTGGGCGCCTCCCTAGGGAGGTGTTCCAGGCACGGCCAGCTGGGAGGAGGCCCCGGGGAAGACCCAGGACCAGGTGGAGAGATTATATCTCTGCACTGGCCTGGAACGCCTTGAATCCCCCAGTCAGAGCTGGTAGATGTGGGAAAGGGAAGTTTGGGGTCCCCTGCTGGAGCTGTTGCCCCCGCGACCCGACCCCGGATAAGCGGTTGAAGATGGATGGATCAACATCCATCCATCCATCTATCTATTCATCCATCTATCATCCATCTATCATCGTCAGCATCATCTATCCAGCCATCCATCATCCATCCATCCATCATTCATCTATCCATCAGTCAATAACAACTTTAGAAACACTTATTAAAATGGCATTCAGTCCAGCTCAAAATGAACACAACATTTATTAGTTATTTATAAGTATTATGAACTTGTGGACGATATCACAGGGGTCCCTGGAGAAAACCTCTTATTCTATTGCAGCAGGCTTTCTGCCCCTCTCAGTCCTGGCTCTGGTTCTCTGGGGCAGCCTTCCCTCCAGCAGGTCCAGCATTACATCCTGGTCTCCAGGTGAGGTTTTAGAGGAGTGAAGCTTAACATACAGGTGCCTCTCAATGATTTAGAATATCGTTGAAAAGTTGATTTATTTTAGTAATTCAGTGCAAAAAGTGAAACTCATATATTATATAGATTTATTACACACAGGATGATATATTTGAAGCGCTGCTTATTTATCTTTTTTCATTTAATTTCTAACATTCTCATAGTTTATGGCTTACAGCTAATAAAAACCCCAGATTCAGAATCTCAGAATATGAGAATATTGTGAAGAAGTTGAATGTTGTGGACACATGGTGTCACACTCTAATCAGCTAATGAAGGTTTCCTGAGCCTTCAAACACTCTCTCAGTCGCGTTCAGTGGCTACACAATCATGGGGAGGACAGCTGTCTTGACAATTGTCCAGAAGACCGTCATTGACCTCCACAAAAGGTCATTGCTAAAGCTTCTGGCTATTACCAGAGTTCTGTATCCAAGCATATTCACGGGAAGTTAGCAGAAGGGAAACAGGTGTACTTTTCAGTTTTTTAAATATGTAATATTCTTATTTCCATTCGCTGTGACCCATAATCATTAAAGTTTAGAAAAAAAACACTTCAAATATATCAACCTGTGTGTAATAAATCTATATAATATATGAGTTTAGCTATTTTCACTGAAATAAATAGACTTTTCGATGATACCTGTGATGCTCTCTCTAGGACCAGTTTGTAGTGTGGAAGGTCGTGTTGGTTCCCATCATCCTGCTATCTCAGCATGGTTCTGCTCACAGCTGCTTGGGGGAAGTAGCCCTCAACGAGACGAGTCCCCACTGTGTCCTGAGACCAGCAGGAGTCCTCAGGTTCAGGCGTTTCTGCTTCACCCTGCTTTGAGTCCACTTCCTCCTCGTTCCTCACCAGCAGGAAGCCTCCATTCAACAAACCTGTTGCTTCTGGAGTCCAAAGAAGATCAGCAACAGAGCTGAAGTTCAGCCCCAGAGGGGCATGAGAGGAATCCATCTCCACATGGGACGGAAAGCCTGCCAGCAACCCTCCGAGTACACATTCGTCTTCGTCCTCGTTGGACAGAACATCCCTCAGTTCGTCCTGCGTCTGCTGTGCGGGTGGAGCTGACGTAGCAATCTGAGGTTTGTATCCCACACGTTCCAGCATCTCTGATTGGAGGAAAGGCGTGGGTTCGACGGGGGATCCATGGACGTGAACAGTGGGGTAAGCGTTGTCTCTGTCCTCCTGGGAGACCAGGCTGATGGGAGACAGTGGGGGGTCGCTGAGGTAGGACGAGAAGGAGGGTTCACTTCCGCTCTGCTGATCAGAGAAAACAGGCAGAAGAGTAGCTTGTTAGACTTTAAGTGCTGAACAGGTTCCCTCATTGTTGAAGCCGAGAGAGAAAATCACTTCCTGCTTTGGTCCGGACAGACAAACAGCCAGAAATAGAGTTATTTTAGGATTCTTTGACTTCTGACACAAAAAGACGGAAGCAGATTTTTATTAGGACATTAAATGACATGTAATGTAATGTATTACCTGCAGCAGTCGGATGGCGTAACTGTTTCCTACTTTTGGGAAGTTGTCTTGAAGCCAGGTCGGCCCCCACGGTGTGACCTTCTCTTTGACCCTGAGGACCACAAAAAGGGTTCAAAGTCACGACTGAATTAAGTAAATTAACCAATACCTCAGTGTAAACAAATGGAAAACACATTGCATTCGAAATGTGTCCTTCAATGGACCATTTCAGAATCATGCATTCCATCATCAGAATAATTAGTATGCTCATGAGTCTGATGCCTCAGCTGGTGGAGGTGGAGCTAATGTTCCTAGTAAAGCAAAAGGACAATATAACCTACGGTCAGTACTAAGTGCTGAAAATGACATTACATTACATCACATGTCATTTAGCTGACGCTTTTATCCAACGCGACTTACAGTAAGTGCATTCAATCATAGGGTACAAACTCAAGAACAAGAAACAAGAAGAATTTAATGCAAATATAAACCATTGTGTGTAACTAATGATGGGACACACTGAGAATAAGATCAGATGCAGATGATATATGATGATCATGTGACATTCTAAATTAGCCATGGCAGCATCCATCCTGGTTACTAGGAAAAGCGAACCTATGCACATTCAAGTACTCTTTCTATGAAAACTCAGAGCTCTCTGAAGACACCAGGACCACAGAGAGCCTTCACATCTTCCGCCGTGGATTCCGCCGCATCCACGTCGCTTTGGATAAAAGCGTCAGCTAAATGAAATGTAATGTAATGTAATGTAAAAACAATGAGCATAAATAATAGTAACAATAATGATAACAATACCTCTCCCTCACACAACTGCAGCACATCATGTTGGCTACGACCACTATGAAGAGGGTGATGATGAAAACCATCACGACCACCAGGCCGGCTGCAGGAGCCTGGCTATGTGCAGTCAGAGAGGAATGATTCTTTGATGTGCACACATTAACCCGGGCGGAGGGACCTGCAGGGCTCTCGGGCTGAGAGCAGACCCGGTTCCCCCGTCGGCCTTCTCCTGCTGAGGTGGAGGCAGTCAGCTGCAGAACCAGAGCTCCTGCAGGACAGTCCAGCCACACCGGCTGGGGCTCGGTAGCCGGAACAGTCACTGCAGAGGAGCAGAGGTCAGCAATAATGTGGTTTGGTGCTGGTAAATATTCAGCTGCATCAGTAGTACAGTTATGTTATCTTATCTTTACCTGTCTTAATTCAATTACTATAATCAGCCAGAAAGCACAGCTTTTATGAGAAAAGGTGTTAAAAGTCTTGCCTGAGGACACATCAACATGGACTGGAGGAATTGAGGGACCAACAGCCGACGTTCAGAGTCTACTTCAATAGGAAATGCAACGTAAACAATCTCAATCTCTAAATTGAGCTAACCAATGGATTTTCAATTAGAGGACAAAAAGTCATCGAAGGGGACAATAAGAAACATGTCTTTCTGTGCCTGTTTGATTGTATATTTAGGTATCTTGAGCTCCTCTGCTCCCATAGACGTCTATGAGGAAATGACACTACTTGACTGTAGTGACCAGCAGGGGGCGACTCCTCTGCCCCCATAGATGTCTATGAGGAAATGACTCTACTTCTCTGTAGTGACCAGCAGGGGGCGACTCCTCTGCTCCCATAGACGTCTATCAGGAAATGACTCTACTTCTCTGTAGTGACCAGCAGGGGGCGACTCCTCTGCCCCCATAGATGTCTATGAGGAAATGACTCTACTTCTCTGTAGTGACCAGCAGGGGGCGACTCCTCTGCTCCCATAGATGTCTATGAGGAAATTACTCTACTTCTGTCTCCTGACCAGCAGGGGGCGACTCCTCTGCTCCCATAGACGTCTATGAGGAAATGACCCTACTTCTCTGTAGTGACCAGCAGGGGGCGACTCCTCTGCTCCCATAGACGTCTATGAGGAAATTACTCTACTTCTCTCATGATTTATCCCTCAGTAAACATTGTAAACATGAGTTTATGGTCTCAGTCTCTAGTTTCAAGTCTTCTCAACACAGCATGATGTTCATATAGTAAATTATGGTCCGTCTAGAGTCAATAAAGCAGGGGATGCTTTAGGGCGGGGCTACAGGCTGATTGACAAGTCTTCAATAGAACATAAGGCAGGAGATGCTATAGGAAGTAGAAGTGCTGTTTTGAGGCTTGAAGTTGAATCTTCTTGTTCCTACAGAACAGTGATTTGCAGAATCAACAAAGATTATTCAGATGCAGCTAATATATTAACTTCAAGTAAAGGCTGTAAAAGTAAAAATAATTAGTCATTTTAGGTAAAACTTTGGATGGAAGGATTTAAAGAAAGAGCAAATGTCTCTAGTTCCCAGACTCATAACATGTCACATTCCTTACAGAACATCTGCATCCAAAAGACGTCATATAAAAATGGCAAAATAGAATTAAATAAAAGACAATCAAATTGCATCAATCAAAGAATTAAATATTGGAACATCCACAGCTGGATCATTTGTTTAACTTTAATTTGACTAAGATTTTTAAAAATGTCCTTTTACAGCAACATAACACAATGTTACAAACTGAGGTGGAAAAAATGCAGCGTGATTTACTGGATCAAAAAGGAATATATAAATATCACCTCAGGCAGTTGTTAGTGGAGTTATTCTTTCCTCTCAGCATAATAAAAATGATGGAAACCTTATTTCTGAGTTAAAAGACGGATTGTCTTGTAAATAACGGAGGTATTCATGAAGTGAATCTTGCGTTCTCAAGCGTTTCATGAACATCTGATTGAATACGTCTGACTGAAGCACAATCAGGTTCATCACAGTTTGGGCGGGGCGGTCAAACTCAAATACACAGTGGGCCAAAATATCAAACAAAGCCGCGGGCCAACGTTGAACAAATGAACCTTTTAATATGAACCCAAACAAGTTTTGCTTTAACATTGAATATGGAACAAGCAACGCTTATATAACTTAATAGTGCAGACATGCTAAATCGAATTTCAAATAAAAAAAACATATCAATGGCATATTAAATAAAATTGTATGCCTCATTTCTATTTGCATCTTTCTGAGGTAAATATCAAAATACACTATTTCCACAGGCTAATAAATTGGAAAATAAAATAACAACAATGAATGAATCAACCATTCAGGCCTTGGAGTAGCAAGAAAAAGTGCATAAGAGTTTGCGACACTCGGATCTAATCTGAGGCCAGATGACTGCATCTTTTCTTGGATGCTAGTTCATCTGTCTGATCTCAGGCTCTGAGCTGAAACCCTCAGTGTCCATCAGTCAGACGTCTCCTGTGAGATGTTTCATCATCTTCATCCAGGAGGAACGTTGCTCACATAGATCAGTGCTGCGGAACATGCAGCTCGGTGCCGAGCTGAAGGATGAACTGTGCAAACAGCGTGTCGTTACACTGGAGCTCATTCAGCTCCATTCGGAGGCTGGTTGGTGCGTTTTACACATCAACTGCGAAGGGATTACTAAGCAGTTCAAATCTATATTTCTGGACTCCAAAGTCGGCAAATCGGCGGTAAACTCAGCGCCGAGGACACGGAGTTGTTCAGCAAACTGAGATCTGCGTTTGGCAGCATCTGATTCTCCCACAGACACAGTTTCGTTTTAAAAGCTCTCACTGCTGTGACGATGCAGCTGCAGGTGCAGCGCACCGAGATGCTTGAGATCTTCCCTTTGCTTTGCAGAAACTGACGCGTTTCCTCACACAGCTCGGGGGAGGCGGGGTGAGCGGGGCCTTCCTGCCAAAGCACGAGTCGCTACTGACACAGAGACGTCTGGTCTCGTCCTGATTAACGCGCCAAAACAACAGCAGAGCATTATGGGATTTGTAGTACTAGCGGTGAATGCGCTGTATAATACTGGCGGGCAGCTCTAATAGTAATTTGATATTGTCTCGCGGGCCAGATGTAATTACACTGCGGGACAGATTTGGCCCGCGGGCCAGAGTTTGACACCCATGGTATGGGGGAAAACCAGCTGTTTGACTTTCACATTACTGGAAGTGAGAGCAGAAAAACCCTACTGATGCATTGTGGGAGTATCAGTGCTGACTGAAACTTCCCATGATGTAATAGTGGGTTCTGCTGAAACACAACACATGCATACTACTGCAGGTACCACGCCCTCAGCTTCAGCCTGATTATGGTAGAGTACTCCATGCAGGTAAAGTACAAGTACAACACATGCATACTACTGCAGGTACCACGCCCTCAGCTTCAGCCTGATTATGGTAGAGTACTCCATGAAGGTAAAGTTAAAGTACAACACATGCATACTACTGCAGGTACCACGCCCTCAGCTTCAGCCTGATTATGGTAGAGTACTCCATGCAGGTAAAGTACAAGTACAACACATGCATACTACTGCAGGTAACACGCCCTCAGCTTCAGCCTGATTATGGTAGAGTACTCCATGCAGGTAAAGTACAAGTACAACACATGCATACTACTGCAGGTAACACGCCCTCAGCTTCAGCCTGATTATGGTAGAGTACTCCATGCAGGTAAAGTACAAGTACAACACATGCATACTACTGCAGGTACCACGCCCTCAGCTTCAGCCTGATTATGGTAGAGTACTCCATGAAGGTAAAGTACAAGTACAACACATGCATACTACTGCAGGTACCACGCCCTCAGCTTCAGCCTGATTATGGTAGAGTACTCCATGCAGGTAAAGTACAAGTACAACACATGCATACTATTGCAGGCACCACGCCCTCAGTTTCAGCCTGATTATGGTAGAGTACTCCATGCAGGTGAGGTACAAGTACAACACATGCATACTACTGCTGGTACCACGCCCTCAGCTTCAGCCTGATTATGGTAGAGTACTCCATGAAGGTAAAGTACAAGTACAACACATGCATACTACTGCTGGTACCACGCCCTCAGCTTCAGCCTGATTATGGTAGAGTACTCCATGAAGGTAAAGTACAAGTACAACACATGCATACTACTGCTGGTACCACGCCCTCAGCTTCAGCCTGATTATGGTAGAGTACTCCATGAAGGTAAAGTACAAGTACAACACATGCATACTATTGCAGGTACCACGCCCTCAGCTTCAGCCTGATTATGGTAGAGTACTCCATGAAGGTAAAGTACAAGTACAACACATGCATACTACTGCAGGTACCACGCCCTCAGCTTCAGCCTGATTATGGTAGAGTACTCCATGACGGTAAAGTACAAGTACAACACATGCATACTACTGCAGGTACCACGCCCTCAGCTTCAGCCTGATTATGGTAGAGTACTCCATGAAGGTAAAGTTAAAGTACAACACATGCATACTACTGCAGGTACCACGCCCTCAGCTTCAGCCTGATTATGGTAGAGTACTCCATGCAGGTAAAGTACAAGTACAACACATGCATACTACTGCAGGTACCACGCCCTCAGCTTCAGCCTGATTATGGTAGAGTACTCCATGCAGGTAAAGTACAAGTACAACACATGCATACTACTGCAGGTACCACGCCTTCAGCTTCAGCCTGATTATGGTAGAGTACTCCATGAAGGTAAAGTACAAGTACAACACATGCATACTACTGCAGGTACCACGCCCTCAGCTTCAGCCTGATTATGGTAGAGTACTCCATGCAGGTAAAGTACAAGTACAACACATGCATACTACTGCAGGTACCACGCCCTCAGCTTCAGCCTGATTATGGTAGAGTACTCCATGCAGGTAAAGTACAAGTACAACACATGCATACTACTGCAGGTACCACGCCCTCAGCTTCAGCCTGATTATGGTAGAGTACTCCATGCAGGTAAAGTACAAGTACAACACATGCATACTACTGCAGGTACCACGCCCTCAGCTTCAGCCTGATTATGGTAGAGTAATCCATGAAGGTAAAGTACAAGTACAACACATGCATACTACTGCAGGTACCACGCCCTCAGCTTCAGCCTGATTATGGTAGAGTACTCCATGCAGGTAAAGTACAAGTACAACACATGCATACTACTGCAGGTACCACGCCCTCAGCTTCAGCCTGATTATGGTAGAGTACTCCATGAAGGTAAAGTACAAGTACAACACATGCATACTACTGCAGGTACCACGCCCTCAGCTTCAGCCTGATTATGGTAGAGTACTCCATGCAGGTAAAGTACAAGTACAACACATGCATACTACTGCAGGTACCACGCCCTCAGCTTCAGCCTGATTATGGTAGAGTACTCCATGCAGGTAAAGTACAAGTACAACACATGCATACTACTGCAGGTACCACGCCCTCAGCTTCAGCCTGATTATGGTAGAGTACTCCATGAAGGTAAAGTACAAGTACAACACATGCATACTACTGCAGGTACCACGCCCTCAGCTTCAGCCTGATTATGGTAGAGTACTCCATGCAGGTAAAGTACAAGTACAACACATGCATACTACTGCAGGTACCACGCCTTCAGCTTCAGCCTGATTATGGTAGAGTACTCCATGAAGGTAAAGTACAAGTACAACACATGCATACTACTGCAGGTACCACGCCCTCAGCTTCAGCCTGATTATGGTAGAGTACTCCATGCAGGTAAAGTACAAGTACAACACATGCATACTACTGCAGGTACCACGCCCTCAGCTTCAGCCTGATTATGGTAGAGTACTCCATGCAGGTAAAGTACAAGTACAACACATGCATACTACTGCAGGTACCACGCCCTCAGCTTCAGCCTGATTATGGTAGAGTACTCCATGCAGGTAAAGTACAAGTACAACACATGCATACTACTGCAGGTACCACGCCCTCAGCTTCAGCCTGATTATGGTAGAGTACTCCATGCAGGTAAAGTACAAGTACAACACATGCATACTACTGCAGGTACCACGCCTTCAGCTTCAGCCTGATTATGGTAGAGTAATCCATGAAGGTAAAGTACAAGTACAACACATGCATACTACTGCAGGTACCACGCCCTCAGCTTCAGCCTGATTATGGTAGAGTACTCCATGCAGGTGAGGTACAAGTACAACACATGCATACTACTGCAGGTACCACGCCCTCAGCTTCAGCCTGATTATGGTAGAGTACTCCATGAAGGTAAAGTACAAGTACAACACATGCATACTACTGCAGGTACCACGCCCTCAGCTTCAGCCTGATTATGGTAGAGTACTCCATGCAGGTAAAGTACAAGTACAACACATGCATACTACTGCAGGTACCACGCCCTCAGCTTCAGCCTGATTATGGTAGAGTACTCCATGCAGGTAAAGTACAAGTACAACACATGCATACTATTGCAGGCACCACGCCCTCAGCTTCAGCCTGATTATGGTAGAGTACTCCATGAAGGTAAAGTACAAGTACAACACATGCATACTACTGCTGGTACCACGCCCTCAGCTTCAGCCTGATTATGGTAGAGTACTCCATGCAGGTAAAGTACAAGTACAACACATGCATACTACTGCAGGTACCACGCCCTCAGCTTCAGCCTGATTATGGTAGAGTACTCCATGCAGGTAAAGTACAAGTACAACACATGCATACTACTGCAGGTACCACGCCCTCAGCTTCAGCCTGATTATGGTAGAGTACTCCATGCAGGTAAAGTACAAGTACAACACATGCATACTACTGCAGGTACCACGCCCTCAGCTTCAGCCTGATTATGGTAGAGTACTCCATGCAGGTAAAGTACAAGTACAACACATGCATACTACTGCAGGTACCACGCCTTCAGCTTCAGCCTGATTATGGTAGAGTAATCCATGAAGGTAAAGTACAAGTACAACACATGCATACTACTGCAGGTACCACGCCCTCAGCTTCAGCCTGATTATGGTAGAGTACTCCATGCAGGTAAAGTACAAGTACAACACATGCATACTACTGCAGGTACCACGCCCTCAGCTTCAGCCTGATTATGGTAGAGTACTCCATGAAGGTAAAGTACAAGTACAACACATGCATACTACTGCAGGTACCACGCCCTCAGCTTCAGCCTGATTATGGTAGAGTACTCCATGCAGGTAAAGTACAAGTACAACACATGCATACTACTGCAGGTACCACGCCCTCAGCTTCAGCCTGATTATGGTAGAGTACTCCATCAAAGTAGACACACGTACAGAACGTGGGTCAGTTAAGTTATTCTTATGAGTAAGAACAGGAAACAACTCAAAGCATGGTTGAGCTTCTATTTTATCACAAATATCTGTCACCAACATACTATATATATATATATATATATATATATATATATATATATATATATATATATACATACACACATATATATACTTATCATATTTTGTATACAATATATAATATAGTACTAAATGTACCAGTCAAAAGTTTGGAGACATTTGGGGATTCAATTCATTGAGAAAGTGTCTCCAAACGTTTGACTGGTACTGTAGAAGTTAAGCCGATGCTTTAAGCCACTGAGGCATTTTACCAGGAAACCTAATTGACGCGCTGCTGTTGTACCATGAGGGATGATTGACAGTCCTGTTGCCTTTGGGTTAAGATGCAAATGAGATCATTTATTTGCCAACTTATTCTTCTTATCACACGTTTCACATACATCCACCCGGAGCGTAACATGACACTACCCAGCGATCAAAAACTGTTCCTAAACCGGCTGGAAATAACTCCCGAGCCCTCAAAGGTTCCTACCCCATATAGGCTGACCCGCCCATCAACAGATCCTGACACACAACATACATCTGCTCTTACAGGTACTGTATAATAATCAATATATCTGAAGAAGAGCGGGCAATGAGGTTGAGGGGGTGGGGGGTGGGGGGCATAAGCCATGGAAGGAAAGCTCACTGCTGAGTGTTTGGCCTCTGGAGTCCAGGGTCTGCAGATACACGGTGTAGTAGGTAATGAAGCCCTGCTGATTGGCTACAGGCGGCTCCTCCCACTGGATCAGGATCCGTCTGGCCTTGTGGACCAGGACCGATATGTTAGGACCGTACGCTGGTTCTGAAACACGCACAGGGAAACAGAGGCCATGTTGTCTGGTAGGTTGGATGAACTCAGAGGATAGTTGGAGCGAGCAACATTAACGTGTCTCACCCTGTTCTTTGGAGTAGACCAGCTTGGAAGACAGGGCACTGACGCCTCTGCTGCTCACAGCGTACAGCGAGACGTTGTACCTCACACCTGCAGTCACACCTGGAGCATCACACAATCACTCTCAGAGACCACAGGTGACAGCAGGTATTAGAATGAGCAAAGAACAAATCCATGTGATTCACCAACTGCCCACAAGAGGCCACTACTGCATCTCTGGAGACATTTATGAACATGTTCTATGTCACGTGACGTGTCTGTGTGTTTATACCTGTGATGGAGGTGCTGTTTTGATCTCTGGACACCGGTTTCCACTGCAGCTCTTTCCTATGCACACCTACACCTGTCCACTCTATCACGTAGTGCAGTGCTTCTCCTCCAGATATTGGCGCGTCTCGGTTGCGCGGCATCGACCAGGTGACCGACACGGAGGTGCCGTCAGCTGCAGGTGTCAACTCCTTTAGAACGGGTCCACGATCACCTGAGCAGGAGAACACCAGGAGGCTGGGTAAACGCTACTCTGCTCTTTAAACCACAAGCTTTCATCGTTCATTGGCCCTCATGTTTGAGCACCTGAGGGTCCGAGGGGCACCTTGGCCGGGGGGGACGTCCCATACAAGGTCACTGCGGTGACGCTGAGCTCCTGGAGCTCCGCTGGCACCTGAAGGGACCACTGACTCACAGCAGCATCACACATCACTTGTTGCTTCTGATCCAGGAGGATGAGGTAGCTCTGCACCGCGCCGCTGTGGTCCTCTGGAGAGGGAGGCTAAAGGAGAAGCTTTACCAATACCGTTGGTATTGGTATACGCTATCACATAATCTCAGTTTGTGGGTCAGCAGTGAGATGAGAAGATTGTTTCCATTGTCACATAAAAACATGAACCTGGGGCTACCACATGGTGGAAATTATCTCCGAGATAAACGTGAGAGATGTGACCTAGTGACACCTTTAAATGCTCACTAAAACATACTTTATTTTTCAAAATGAGTCATATATGTGTATGTTTAAATATACTTATATGTATATATATTATATTATATATATTATTATGTTTATTACACTGTATGATTAAAGTCATTAGCAGCTATACATCAGTGGGTTGGCGGTTCGATCCCAGGCGACTACAGTGTGTGAATGTTAGTTACTGATGGGCAGGTGGCAGTTTGTGGAAGCTCCTGTCATCAGTGTATGAATGGGTGAATGATGTCATGTAGTGTCAAAGCGCTTTGAGTGGTCAGAAGACTAGAAAAGCGCTGTACAAGTAAAGTCCATTTAGAGTGTTATTTGTCTTGTTGTCCATTGTCTTACTGTCCAATGTTATGCAAGAACCGCCAAGTCAAATTCCTTGTATGTCTAACATATTTTGGCAATAAATGTTCCTGATTCCTGATATTAAACTTAGTGACTTCTTATGATACTAGACGTTATCAGTCAGTCAAATTATTTATAATGTGTTGTGGTTATTCTTATTAAATATTAAGGTGTGTATGGTTATTATTACACAGAACTTTAACAAAATTAGAACACGTCAAAAGTATGTTCATTTAAGTGGGTGAGATTTAAACCTTTTTTTTAAGTTTTATCCCAATACCACAAGTAGATCAAAATGTGAAACATTACAAAAATGTTCAATATTCCTGGAAGAAGCAGAGATAATGAAGGGACAATCTTTTTACCTTCCATAAGACCGTTAGCTCGTCGGGCGCCCCAAGGCCGAAGGTCCTCCACACCTGGATCTGTTGAGACGGACCTGAGATAAGGGTAACCAAACTCTCTCATCACCTTGGTATCACATTGATTATGTTCTAGATCACGGTTGCTCACACTCCTTGGCTCATGAGCTACTTCTCAATTGACCAAGTCACGGTGACCCGATGGGATTTTCCAATGGCAGGCGATCTACTCGTACTGCCTCGGCGATTGACCGATACTAGCATATAAATAAGAATTGGGAACTCAACTTTTCCAGGACTCTTCCCCCCTTCAGAGAGGCTCCATCTGCTGCAGGACGACCTTTTGCTGGAGTTTGACCTCTGCGTCCGGCCTGATGGGCAGTCACATACTCTCATCTGGAAGTCATAATGAGTCAGAGGCCTCAGTCCGCCCACTTGAAACAGACCCTCGCTGACTTCCGTTCCCTCTCCCACTTCCTGTAAACATCAAGGCATGAAGTCACATGGCTGCTGCTGATCACCTCCATCATCAGCTTTGTGGCATCTTTACCCAAAAGCCTTCATCTGAGCGGAGCCGCACATCGACTGTCACGTTCTCCGAGGATCTGGAGGCCTTCCAATGCAATAGGGCGGTAATGGAGTTATTCCCAAACTCTAGCTGCATGATGAGAGGGGGTTCCGGTATCACTGTGAGAAGAAAGAACATATGGTGTGATGGCCTCCCGGTGCAGAACAACAAAACTACAGCACAGTTCATTGATGACTCAAAGAGTCAACAAATCAGACGATTTAAACTGACGAATGGAAGGACGGTTCTTAAAGAGACAGAAAGGAGAGCTCACATATGTCCTTCACACAGAAGACCAACGGGTCGGAACACGACTCTCCAAAGAGATTGAAGGCCCTGATGATCAGCTCCTGAGTGGAGTTCTCATCTATCCTTGCTCGGGGTATGGAGAAGTCTTTAGCATCCTGGACCTGTTCCAGCAGCTGTATAACGTCTTCTCTGATGAAAACATGAACAATCAGGTTGTGTATTGTCTTACAGCAGGTCTTCACTTGAGTCATGATGCCACCATATAGTACCTGGAGAGGGAAATGTTGTAGGTCGTAGGGATGTATGTAGTATTTCCTCTCTCCCATGAGCATTTTATTAAGTCAGAGCTCACAGTCATCTCACAGAGAACATTCACAGGTTTATCTGGAGGGACTTCACAGAGGAACAAAAGAAGAAGAATATTGAGAGGCAGCCGCTTGTTGTTTGTCTGGCAACGTCCACCAGAGGGAACAATAGGAGTTGCCATTGAAATGTAATGTTCTACAGCTTCTTCAAAACTGATCCGGGACCAGAAAGCTCATTCAAACCGTACATCATTTCTGTAATAACAAGTTTTGAAGCCATTATATCTTTGAACCATCCCAGAGTTAAAGGTACAGTGTGCTGGTTTTACTGGTGGAGATTGATTAGAGATTTGATTTGTCCCTTCAGGGCTACTGTAGAAACATGGCAGACTTCATGAATAGGACCTGGCCCTGAAAAGATTCTTAGGCTGGATTCGAAGGTCTATTCCTAACCACTATTCTACTCTACTGCTACTACTCTACTACTCTGTGGAAGGCGTCACAGGGTTCAGGGAAAGATGGTTAGGACAATTGATGAGGAGTTAGGAAAAGACAGCTGTGGACTTTCCAATCCAACCCTGCTTGCACTAGGCTACGTAGCTATGATGCGACGGGAGACCCAAGTTACTGACGTCAGTCAGCAGTGGCCGAAGATGGACCACAAAGAAGCATCTTAGATGCCTTCATGTGTTGTTACAGTGCAGACGACATAAACACCCAGTCCAAAGTATAACTTTATTAACATGGTTGCAATATAAATGAGGTCTGCGTCTTTACGCGCAGTTGTCTCGACAGACTTGTTTCAATTCATGGTGCCAAGCAATTCACCATCAGAACAACAGGCGGAGTAACGTTTTTTGTTGTGTGTGGAAGTCGTTGGTTGGTTTATTTATTTATCATAGACTTTATTGCACCGTGCATCGGCACTGACGCTTTTTAGCGCCTTTTTTTTGCAGACACATTCGTATTTTCCTCCACTACTTTGTTCCCCTCGACCGGCAAACCTACGTTTCCGGAGATCTCTCTCCATGAATCAGAGGCCATCCGGCGTCCTTATAGTCCGCCAATGACGGCTTGTAGAAGTGCTCATATTTACGCATTTCTTCCGACAAAAGCGCTTTAATATGATCCGTTCTCTCGTTACGTTTTGAAAATGTTGGTATTGTGCTATGAAACCGGAAATGTGAGACTCCGTAAAGGACGTAGTTAGCAGACCAATCACAGCCTTTCGGGCTAGTCTAGAAAAATGGCTTGACACGCAAGCATGCAAGGAGGGGTGAAAAGACACGCAAGGAACACGTAAGGAGCTCTTGCGTCTGCGTGTCCTTGTGTTTCTCTGGAAACGCAAATGCATAAACTAGGCTTTGTGCTAACGGTCCCTGCGTTTCTTGGTCATGATTACGTTATTTCTCGTTAATGACTGAAGGATACATGACTAGGGCCCATAAACTCAAATGGGTATAACACAGCTAAACATGCTACTCCTCTTTGGTAACATGAAACTAACAGACATGAAGGAATCAAGTCATGCATGGGGACCACTAGGGATAATCATCATAGCAACCACCTAAAGACCCCAAACAACCAGTCAATTCAGCTCATTTGCACATAATGGCGCTCTAAAATATTGCTTTTGCTTTCCAATTTCCACCATTCCAATCTAATATGGTTAGTAAGTACATACGCCCTCCACGTAGGTCCAGTCCAGCAACGACCAGAGACAGCTGAGGGTTCCTTAGCTTGCACAGCACTTTGGATCGAGGGATCTGCACATTGAACAGTCTGAACATCATTGTGGTGGAGTTGACCTTCTTCCAAGGAGACACAATCTCACCATTCAGCTCCAGGGTGATGGTGAGTCTGGAAGACAAAAACATCAAGAACATGTCTAAAAGCGTTTCATACATACAGTATATTTAGAGAAGACAATGGGTAAAATGGTTGAGGTACGTGATGGTATTCGTACCCCTCCTGGTCTCTATCCTTCAGGACGTGGCAGTATACTGTGAGGTCGGAGCCCAGGCGGAACACTGGACCTGGTTCTACTGTCAGGTACCCGGGGCCATCAAAGCCCAGCCGGCCAGCCGGCAGCAAGGCTCCACCTGGTCAGAACAGGACCACCAGATCAGAATAGGACTACTTGGTCAGAACATGGCTACTGGTCACAACAGGACCACTTGGTCAGAATAGAATCACCAGATCAGAACATGGCCTGTGATCAGAACAGAACCACCAAGAGGGTATCATAGCGGTCCCATCCAAAAGTCTTCTCAGCTTACGGCATGGTGTTCGCCATGATTAATCTGACGAATGCACAAAACAGAACTTGTGCTGGTCTTCAGACTGGAACCGAGACAGAAACATGGTGAGAGGGATGATGTGGAAGGATACTCACTGAGAAGTGTGATAATGAATGTCCAAAGAGTGGAGGAGAGACCCATCCCTGCTCCTTTTTCCTTAAACTCGGCTGCTGAAAAGCAGATGTTCCAAGCTCAGCTTTCAGTGAACAGGAGACCTTCTGGCCGTCGAGCTTTGTTGAAAACCAGAACTGTGAAAGTAGAAGGACATGTATGTCAGCAGACATCAACGACTCAAATCTAAACATTTGATTTCATAAAGCCTTTTGAAGCAGATATAAATGATACTTCACGGTGATATGTTGATGATCTGCATTTTCTTACCCATCAAAGACGCTGAAAATCAATGAGACGGGTGAAACTCACCAGTGTGATACAGTCAAGCTGTTTTCAGGACATCAGCCCCCGAAGATCTGTTTCCACGGCTCTGAGAAAACCCTTAAAGAGGCCGCTGACCTACTTTGGTGGTATTTTGGCAAACTAACAAACTTTGATACTTGGTTGGCCTACTTTGACTTCATCTGCTTCCCATCACCGCAGGAGGTTGAACTGACTTTGAAAAAAGCTGCTCTCATTTAAATGTGCTGCAGTCAGCAGATCACTTCTTATTAAACTTACAGTTACAAGATGGTGACAGTAGTTTCCAGTAGTCCTGATGCTTCTCAGGGGTTTTACAGTAGCATCTTATGTGCTGATGAACATTACAAACATAAAAATGATATTTACTGCCGCCTGAGCAGACTATAAATATTATATAGTGGTTTCTTATTGAGGGGCAAGGCTAGTAAAAAGCAACTTACACTTTTAGTCCGAAAGAGACTTCACATTGAAAAGTAATAAAAATATTCCCATATCATGTCATTTAGCTTGCTGCGTATGTTCATGTTCACCAGTGTGTCACGACGGTCAGAGATGAATAATAGACTGAGACTTTCTCAAACTCCTTTTGCTGGTTATTTTCCATTTGTGACTTGAAAGCTTCACAGGGAAACCCCAGAAGTGTGATGAGGTGCATGTTCTCACAAAAGACACATCCAGCTGCAACTTTGATGTTTTTATACGTCAATTCAGAAGATGGGTTCAATCAAAGAAAGATACCTCGATGTGCTACTTTTTGTAATGTGAAGAGCTTTCTCATACTAATCAGATATGAACATTAATGCCACACAATTACATGACGCAAAACTTTAAATTCAGGAATCTGAATGAGACAAGTTACAAAAACTAATTCTCATTAAGTTACACAAATTAAAAATCCATTTAGTTACAAAAAGTAAATCTCATTTAGCTTCACAAATTTCATTTAGTTACATAAAAGTATGATCCTGTGTTCTCTGGAAAGTATTGAAGAAATTAGTTAGCTGAGATCATATTAAAAACTACAATGTATTTGATTGCCTGGTTTAATGCAGTCATGTTAAGAGGTTGATCTTCTCGAAGATGATCTTCACTGGAGGACACCAGCGGGTCAGCGCGGGGTGGCGCAGAGCCGGTACGCTTTGGGACACAAAGTAGCTCCCAGCTGGAAGTCCAGACCCGGCTTCTCTCCATCCGGCACCGACAGGAAGAACCTCTGGAGGATGGAGGTGAAGAAGAGGAACAACTCCATCCTTGCCAGCTGCTCCCCGAGACAGACCCGCTTCCCTAATGGGACAAGACCACAAGTTTACCTGTAATAAATATGAATTCAAGCTGAATGTTCTCTTAATTTAAAATCATGTTGTGAACTATTTCTTATCATAACGGTTTACTCTTGGACTTTACAGCACGCTGGAATTATGTTTGAAATGCTTATAAAATCAATCAAGCTGGAGACAATGTTGGCAAAACCTCCTGGGATGTAATTGTTCATTCTGTACACATGACATCCATTGTAGTATGTCCATCCCAGGAGACGGATCCTCCTCCTCCTAAGGTTTCTTCCACTTTTTCATTTGTGGGTTTTTTTCCTGTGCTGATGTGAGGGTTTCGGGACAGAGGATGTTGCATGTCTACAGACTGTAAAGCCCTCTGAGGAAAATTTGCAATTTTTGGCTAAAATGAATTGAATGATATTAGTGGCATGTTCATTATCTGTAAGTGTGCAGAAAACCCTACTTTAATATGGATTTAGAACTTGAATGTAGGGCTGTGCTGTATGGCCAAAAATCCATATCACGATATTTAGAAAGATTCTGACGCTATCCCGGTATTACTTTTTCAAGTAAACGCATAAATTCTTTAACCCTGAAAAAGTCCGCCAGCTACCCGATCAGCTGTTTGCTGCTCGTAACTGGCCGGCGAATTAGCTTGTTAGCTCGTTAGCGTGTTAGCTTGTTGTGGCTCCTAGTGCCACCAGGGACTCGACAGACTTTGTAATGAGTCGTTTTCTGATCTAATGTAACTTACGTCAGATTTTCCAAAAGCCAAAACCCTCCAAATAGACACAGCTCCTCTGTTGGGCACAAGTTGTGTTGGTGCATCTCTGGTCTCTCGTTGTTCCTCCTGTATCGCGCTTTTCAGTGTTTTCATGTAGCAGCAGAGTTACTTCTTGTTGTGAGCTGTACCCAGCATGCAGTAATGTACAATTATTAGTGTTACAAATTGATTATGTGTCACAAGCTGTTGTGTTGTGGTGTTTTACCCTGTTAACGAGTGTTTGTTGTGGGTTGTTGTTGTTATACATTTATAACCATGACTCAATCTCAACACACGTAAGACAAGTAGCTCCGACCGCTGGACGCTTTGTGGTGACATGTAAAAGCAGTAGTTATGGCGTAACGCCGGTACCTTACCGGTATCCCGCCCAGCCCTACTGGAATGTCAATGTTAGTAATGACTTGGGACCATTGTTTACAGATCAAACATTAAGGTCAGGGGTCAGGTAGCTCAGCTGTTCTCTCCTCCTCACTGACCTGCTGAAAAAGGAAGGAAGGCTTCTCTCTTCCTGAACTTCCCGTCCTGGTCCAGGAAGTGTTGTGGGTTGAAAGAGTGCGGTGTCTCCCACTCAGACTCGTCACGTAGAACCGAGATCAGCGTCGGCAGGACCAGGGTTCCCTGAGAACGGAAGAAGGGTTAGAATGAAGAACAATGTTATTCATTTCATTCCAGGATCAAATCCTCCCAAAAAGTAATTAAACTGTAGGACAACTGAGCTCCGTAAGATTATGTTAATAAATCAAATGCTCTCAGATGAGCTCCTGAATGGACACACCAGGTATTTGTAAACTGTAAATGGCTGATCTACAACTATCACCAGAAAAGTGCATATAACCCCTAATCAACCCATTCATGTGTTTTCTACATGGATCATTTTATTACTTTAAAGCTTTTTTTGCTAAATGTCATTATTAGTTATTTGGTTCACACCATTACATTATAAAAAGGTGACTTTAATGATGCTTTCACTTGAGTCGGTTTGTGAGTCGGAGAACAAAGAGGACGTGGTGTACCTTGGGGAGCGTGTACGGGCCCAGCGTGGTCTCCCTACTGGTCATACGGGCCACATTGAGGGGGAGGATGTCGGCCATCCTCTGGACTTCATGGAGGACTGCATCCGTGTAAGGCATCTGGTCTTTGTCTGCCATCGAGGGCAGCCTGGACGAACCCACCACGGAGTCTATCTCAGCCTGGACCGCCCCTGCACCAAGACCAGGAGATCAGAGGGTCTGTAGATCACTGAGGAGGAAACTGCCCCCACCATCCCACACAATTCCTCTGATAACACAAGACGACAGTCACATACGACACCTACACACACAGACACACACACACCTTGAACCTGAGGGTAGTGGATCATGTAAAGCAGGCCCCAGTTCAAGGTGGTCGCAGTGGTCTCCGTTCCAGCACCAAACAGGTCCAGAGTGCAGAAACACAGGTTACTAAAGTCGTAACCAGAGGCTTTGTCCTCCTCCTGCCAAAAAGAGAGCGCTTCCATTAGGACATGTAAAGGAGGACAGACACAAGGCAGACGCGCTGCTCACCTCTCCGATCTCAGCCAAGAAGCAGTCGATGTAATCTCTGGGGGAGGACGGGTCGAAGCTCTCTCTGTGTTCTTGGATCTTTATTTGCAGGACGTCCAGGATAGTTTGTGTCAGAGAGAAAATCCTCTTGTGAGGTCCAGGAAGCCGACGCATCAGCCAGGGGGAAAAAGTTATAAAGCTAGGAGGGTGAAGACATTCAACATGTCAATGCCTCTTGTTCTCCTAAACATGGATTCTCTTGAGTCATCGTGCGCATGAACATTCCTGCAATGGGCCTCTTTTCACAGAACATCTCTTGCTTAGTTGGAAAGCTGTAAATAATAATAAACTAACTAACTCTTACTGTCAGGGGACACTGGAATAGAAAGAGTCCTCGTCAGTAAATCTGTCCGCATGACGAGGCGCTTGTAAGCTGGTGTTAATACACAATGTGTATAAACTAAGAAACTAACAATACGCTTCGAGCCAATCAGCCACAAGAGCCTCTGTGTTTGAGCATTCGCCAGTGAGAGGCCTTATTACCTCTTAATACCTGTGGTTAACGCTCGCATTACCTTGTTACTTCTTAATATCTATTATTACCTCTTGATAACTCGTGTGTGCTCTTATTACCACTTGTTACAGCTTGTTCCCACTTAGTAACTATTCAACATCATGCTAACCTGTCGGTCTATAAGCCTGTTTACATAAATAGTAATTAGAACACACTTTGGACATATGGGGTCTAGTAAAACATGATTTAAAAGTGGGAGCTCAGCCCACCTGGGCCCAGAAGCCCCCCTGCAGGTATATCAACTCATGCATGGTCTGAAGGATTAACTGCTGCTCCTGGTTGGAGTAGTCGCAGCGATCGCCGAACACCAGGCAGCTGATGATGTTTGACACGGCTTTGCTCATCACAGGCTGTATATCAAAAGGTTCTCCTGTAAGATAAAGAGATGATGAAGTGGTGATCCTCATCAAGTGATCACGGCATCATGTCATCATTTCAAACTTACGTTTTTGAATGTAAAATGCTTATTGCCTGCCTGAATTTTTTCAACAAAGAAAGATTAATATTATATTAATTGTGTGGAATTGCGATAGCATACAAGTTCTTAAATTGATGTTTCACCACTAAATTGTAATCAGTCAATGCGGATGTGATGTAGTACAGGTGGCAGGGGCGGTGGCCTGCACTGAGGCGTGAGATGATAGCCCCTCCCCTTTAAGAGGCATTCCCTCATAAAGGGGCGGGATTGGTCCTTTGCCTTTCTGAAGGGCCAGGACCTCGCTGAGGTAGTGACTCTCCTGCTGGATGGACGGCTCCAGGCTCTTCTTGCCAAGCCCAAAGTTTCTGAGTGTGCGGATAGCAAATCTCCTCTGCTGCTTCCACTGCTGTCCGTTGGCTATCACCAGACCTGTAGGAGTCAAAACCAGCATAAGGCCAGAGAGCTAACGGATACACCTCACGGCGAGCTAAATGCTAATGATGCCAACAAGATGCCATGGAGTCATTGCACCAAAGCTAGCACATGCTACCTTTGTTCCCAGCCAGTGCTTCAAACAGCGGGATGGAAGGTCGGTCCACGTAGTCCTCTCCTTTCTGGATCAGCGCCTCTCTCACCAGCTTGTAGCCATTGAGGACCACGATCCTTCCACCAAAGAGCCGAAGGCTGAAGATGTTTCCATATTTCTCTGCAAACTGAAGACACAGCTGTTGACCTACTTTCTCGTAGTCCAAAAAAAATCTGTCGAGCTACGCAGGCTAACATTCTATACCAGGTGTCAGACTGTAAAATTCTATATGCTTACATTCTATACACTTACATTCTATCTCACAGGTGACAAAGTCATGGCCCGCGGGCCGACTCCGGCATTTTGCTATTGTGAGAATTACAGAAAGACATAAATTGCATTTCTATAAAAGTAGCTGCTATTCCTAAAAAGTCCACTGGGGGCCGCACTCT